CAGGGGTAGGGGGACCGCTGGCCAGATCCTACAAGATGGGTGTTGAATGGGAGGCCCTCAAGTGATGTGCTTTTTGCTCTGGTTGTGAAGCCACGTTCGATAGGAACCCATCAGGGGATGGATTCGACCCTCACAGCTCCTCCGGTGAGGGACTGCAATATTATTCTTTATTTATAGACAAATGATGTGACTTTTCAAAGATAAGTAAGTGAACCAGTCAAGATGGCCAAGAACTAGACCCAGGATCCAAGACCCTATTCTTGTGGTCTGATCTCTAGTATTTACTCATACCTTCTTCCCCATCTTCCTGAAGAAGAGATGATTTTAGAGATGGCTTCCTCTGCACTGGTTTATTACAGGGGCAGCAATCAGCACATCTACTGTCTGTGGTCTATATAGATTCATAAAATATTAATATTATATACATATTAATATGCAAACAACAATTAATACAAGGAAACGGAGCCCTTGGGAGGAGAGGTTCTTTCTGTTGTGCAGATGAAGCATTATCTGCACACATTTAAAACTCCATTTAAAAGAAAATGACTGGTTAAATATAGTAATGGCAGAAGCCACAGGATGGCAGTGTGCATAGGCTTCTGGACAAGAAGAAGCCATTATATATGCATATTAACTTGCCTTCATGAGGAAGTCAGAGTATTACTCTCAAATAATTGCCCAGTTAAATGTTCCTTTGCCTTGAGCTTGATACACTAGCACTAGTGTTGACGGAAAGACCCTCAGCCTTGAATTACAGATTTCAAATCCTGGAAAAACCACCATGTTCCCTGGTAAATTGATTCATACAATCATAGAAAATGAGGGTTGACAGGACATCAGGAGGTCACATCTAGTCCACCCCCCTGCTCCAAGAAGGACCAGCCCCAACTACATCATCCCGGTGAAGGCTTTGTAGTGAGAAAAATCTTCCTAATATCCAACCTCAACTTTCCTTGCTGCAGCTCGAGCCCATTGCTCCTTGTCCTGCCAGCTGCCCCCACTGAGACCAGTCCAGCTCCATCCTCTTTGCAGCCCCCCTGCAGGGAGGTGAAGGCTGCTATTCAATCCCCCTCAGTCTCCTCTTCTGCAGGCTAAATCAGCCCATTTCCCTCAGCCTCTCCTCACAAGTCATGTCCCCCAGCCCCACAACCATTTTCATTGCCCTCCACTGGACTCTCTCCACCTTATCCACATCCTTTCTGTAGTGGGGGGGCCCACATCTGGACACAGGGCTCCAGATGTGGCTTCCCCAGTGCCCTAATGGCTCTCTCTTTTTTTTTTTTGTATACAGGAGAGTTTTGCAAGAGAATAAAGAGCTTGCTTAATGCAAGTCGCAGTGAAGGTCCCTCAGCAAAAATCCCTCATTTAGAAGTACAGCCTTTGCATCTCATAAATGCCCATCAGCTAGCTGGAGTGGGGAGGGGAGGTGCTATATCACTTAGCTATATCACTCAAAGGATGCTGTGGTCTCATTTCCCTCGCAATGCACCTGTAAGGCAACCCTGGACCGAATGGATGGTTCAAAACCAGGGCGAAGGAGAGATGCTGTAATTTCCCTTGAAGGCCCATGTGTCCGCAGCACCCACTTTGAAACACACCTGGGTACTCAGTTCCTGGGCCTGCAAATTGCTCTAAAGACCCTCACATCCCAACCCCAGAGAGACACCAACACTGAGCAGAGGCTTCAGCAAAAAGCTTTTATTTAACTGTCATAGCCATGCAGAGCCCTAGGGGCATTTTCAGAGGGTCAGAGGAGTGCAGAAGAAAGCAGGATCTTGGCAGCGTGCATTTCCCCCAGTCCGAAGGCTTAGTGGTACTTGCGGGCCAGCGCGTGAGCCACCACCCCCACCAGCTTCTGCCAGGTGGCCTGGCAGGAGGGGGTGAACTCCTTGCCGAAGTTGGCCGCCAGCACGATGTTGAGGATGTCTCCCAGGAGCTGGAGGTGGGGAGGAAGAAGACGTGTCAGTGAGGCAGCACCTTTCCCCATTACCTCTCATTACACTCATGAAGGCCAGGCCTTGCAAAGCTGGACTCTTCACCTCCTATTAGGACCCACCAAATCCCCCAAGCCTTTCCCTATTAGTATCAGGGACCCTGGAGCCTGCCAGCAGCTTTCTGGCAAGGGGAAGGCAGGGAGGGGGCACTCCATAGGGTGCAGGGGTGCATAGGGTGCATGGACTTCATAGGGTGCAGGGGTGCATAGGGTGCATGGACTGTGCTTGGTTCCTCTCCCCTCCTTTTCTACTCATTATTAGGGAATAATGTGCTATCCATGGGGTGGATTATGGCCTAGGCACCATGTAGGTCACCCTGGGGGCCTTGCTGTAGAGGCTCCCCTCCTACTGTGGTCCCCCCAAATCCGCATGACACCCCTGGCCTTGCTGGGCATTTCCTTGGCTTTTCTCTCTGCTTGCTCCCATACCCTTTCTCAAGGAGGGGCTCCCCTGAAATTTAACCCATCTCATCAGCTCCCGTCGGTATTCCCACCAGGCTTTATATTCATCCCAAATAACCTTTCCCCTGGTCTGAGTTTCTCTCTTCCTGATTGCCCCTGACTTCAACAGCTTCACTCCCCCCCTCCCATGCCCACCGCCCCTGCAGATCCCTCTCCCCATTCACTCCTGGCCCCACGGCCTGCCCTATAGTCACAGGTCCCAAGCTCTTTCTTGGACACATTCCTTGCAGCTTGTAGGCAGCATTTTTTTTTTTTGTTATCAGAAAGTTTTAAATGTTTTTCTCACTGCTTTTTGTTGGAAAAATCCCCCCCCATGCTGGAAGTTAGACCCTAAAAGTAATAAGGCCCAAACAAGCACTGCTCTGACTGTTTCAAATGAAAACCTAGAGACAAAGCTAAATGCAAATGCACAAAAATCATCCTTTCATTTTTGTCCAAAGTTGTGCTCTTGAGAGGGGGGGAAGGACCCAGTCAGGCTGTTTGCCCTACCCTAAACTAAGCAAGGATCTGCTATAGCCTGGGAGGGGAGGAGGCAGCCTGTCCTGGGATAAGAACTACACCTGCATTCAGGAAAGGATCTCCACAGGTATCTATCCTATCAAGGGTCCCTGATCTTTGCTTCCCCCACTAAATTTCTATACCCATCAGCCCTCCAGCCTTTTGAAGCCAGCCCTTAATATCCCAAACCTGCATTGTTACTGAATACAGAAGAATTTAAAAATCACCCTCTTTTGGGAGGATGCTGTTTGCTCAAAGGGTGATTTAAAAGTCATCCTCCTGCCCAAAGCAACTCAGTAGTCTGCCCTTAATTTTTTTCCAGTTTCTTACCTATAGATAGATAGATAGATAGATAGATAGGGTTTAATTTTAAAAAAATGCAGTTTGTTAGTTGGTCTAATAACAGGTATCATCTCTGAATCAACTCTGAACCAACTCTGGTATCATCTCTGAACCAACAGTCCCAAATTTTTGCATTTCTTCTGCTCTGCCCTTATGCATGTACCCCCCTTGAGAGCTTAACTGCAAGCAATGCAACCCTGCTTGCTGTGCAAGAAAAGGCTGTGGCTCCTGACAAGGAGGGAGAGGCAGGTGGGAGGAAGGAGGGCCAGGCCACAAGCCTCACTCACCCGGAAGTTTTCGGGGTCCACGTGCAGCTTGTCGCAGTGCAGCTCGCTCAGCTTGGAGAACGTGCCCTTGACGTTGTCCAGGTTCTTCACGGCGTCCCCGAAGGAGGTGAGCACCTTCTTGCCGTGGGCACGCACCTTGGGGTTGTTTATGATGGCGGTGGGGCTGGAGAGGGTCCCGGAGGTGGGGAAGAAACTCCGGGTGGGTAGACGATGAGCAGCCTAGAGAGAGGGAGACACAAGCAGAGCCACGGTGAACACTGCTGTGTGCAGGAAGCCTCCGGTGAGGGCTGAGCAGAGGTCCCTGGGACCAGCCTACCTGGCCAGGGCTTCCCCACCGCATTCCTCCACATTAATCCTGCCCCATATGCTGATAATGAGCTGCTTCTCTTCAGCTGACCACTGCACCATGGTGGCGAACGATAGCTTGCTTGCAACTGCAGTGATGTCGGGAAGCAGAAACTGAGCTGCAGACCCCTCGGGGTCACTTTTATCCTCTGGCCACAGCCCCCTCCCACTCCCAGCTGACACGGTCATTGGTCAGGCCTGGCTTGGGTGGGGGAGGTCAACCCTGGTTGGGGGACCTGGGAGCCTGGACAGGCCCTGCAGGGAGTGGCCAGTTGAGAAAGGGGCCCCGGTGCATGTCGAGGGCAAGAGTTCAGCTCCATTCCCGCCTCTCTGTACAAGGTGCCATCCAGTGAAACCTCCTCCCCATGCAGAGGAGTTGCATGCATTATAACCTCAAAGAGCTGCAAGGCACAACAGCAGCCCTTTAGTCTAAACCCCTGCACAGGTGCAGGATAAAACCCTCCCAGACCAATGTCCAGGCAGCCTCTGCTACAAAATCCTCCAGCAAAGATACCTCGGCTTCCCTGGGCAGCTTGCTCCACTGTCCTGCTCACCTCCATTGGGAATTTTCCCTTGCATATGACCTGTAAGGTCACTATTTGTTTAATTTTCTATCCCATTTAGGACAGAGAAAAGCCACCCACTCATGCTCTCTGCCAGTGACTTTGCAGCCAGCCCCCTGCTCCTGCTGACCAGCAGTGTGTGCCTAATCCCCAGAGGCGGGCAACACCAATGGGCAAGGGCTTGGCGAGGAAGTTGTTTGAGGAGAGACTGAAAGGACACGGTGAAGGCTAAGAGGTGACATGATAGCAATCTGCCGTAAAGAGGAGGGACGGTGCCTTTTCTCTCCTGCTGCAGAGAGGAGGACAAGGAGCAATGGCTTTAAGATGCGGTGAAGTCCGTTCAGACTGGATCTCCAGAAAAATAAACTTGTTCCCTATTACAGCAGGGAGGCAGTGGCATAGATGCCAGGGAAAGTGTGGACTCTCCATCACTGGAAAAGTTTGGATATTTTATTGAAGCAGGACTTGGCTGTCGTTGTTCCCCTGCTTTACCTGTGGCAGGTTCAGGTGCTAGGACTGTGCAGAGTTGAGGGTAGTCTTATACAGAGTTTAGATTATAACTTTGTTGGGGATGGTTTTGCAGGGTTGATCCTACGTCAGGTGGGGGGGTTGGACTAGATGTGAGGTCCCTGCCAGCCCCACTTTTCTATGAATCCCTTCCACCCAGGTGTGCCTCTGCAACGCTGTGGTTGACACAGGTCCCTCATCTATGCCCTCGCCAGGCCTAGGCCTGTTTCACCTCCAAGTGCAGATGAGGTTGGGTACTTGAATTCCAGAATAGTATTTTGAGCCAAATGGCATTTTGCAATTCAGGACCAATCACATGGGTATTTAAGTCTTGCATGCAACTAAGGAGATGGCAAAAGTCCAGTACAAGGGGCATATCCCTAGGGGTACTGTGGTGTGATCCCAGGGGCAGGATTTCTCTGTCTGAAATGCCTTTGGCTCTGGAGGAGGGTGACTTTGGAAAGGGGCATTCTTCTCCTTGATCAAAACCCAGCCAGCCATGGGTTTGCCTCTTCTGGCATCTTCTGATAACTAGTTGC